TAGCTTTATCATTAATTCGAAATCTGCATCAGTGTTTATTCATGTGAACTGGCTGCATATTTGTCTTGTTTTCATGCTTTTCTCTTGAATCGAAAGCAACAGACTGTGCTTCTTTCTCTTTCAATTAATCTTTTTTTCTTCAAAGTTGGATTATTTTTCAAAAAAATTGAAAAAGGGTAGGAGCATTAATTGATTGGATTAAGTTTCAAGTTATTTTGTGGAATATTAAATGCTTGTCCACATGCAGATGGAGGGCCAATTATAGAGGGTGTCTATTTCGCTTCCATTCATTGCATAGCAAATTAATTATCTGAGTTTAAGATAAATGTCCTCTTTTATGGTTTCAGGCTCCGATCCAGAGTGAACCTCAAGCGTCGCCTTTTTTAGTGATGTCAGCACCTGAGAGGCCGACGTCATCGTCGGCTACTGTGGATCCGCTGCTGAAGGATCTCACAGAGAAGAAGCAGAACTTCCGGCGGAACGTGGTGTCGCTGGCGGCGGAGCTCAAGGAGGTGCGCGGCCGCCTCGCCTCTCAAGAACACTTCTCTGCCAGAGAAACCCTAACCAGACAGGCATGCAAATGATTGATTTTGACCGATTGATTCGATGTGTGTGTTTGCTAAAGTATACTCAAATTTTAAAATATTGTCTTGTTCTGCTCTGTTTTTACCTGCATATGTAATTTAATTAGAGAGAGCGAGATTGGATCTTTGTAGATGAATGAGTACATTGGCACTTTTACTTTCTTACTTTTTTTTCTTGATTTGACTTATACAGGAAGCGGAAAACAAAGTAAGGAGTATGGAGAAAGAAATTAGTAGATTGGAGAAGAATCTAGAGGAAAGAAATGTGCAGCTGGAGGCTTCAACTTCTGCTACTGAGATAGTACTGTTCTTTCATTATATTTGATTTTGTAGATTTTATCTATTTTTGTTTTTACATTAATTTGTTACTTCTATATGTTATATATGGATGTGATGTTTTGCCCCTTATTGTCATTGATTAGATTTGCTATTTAGATCCATTTTGTAACGCACTGTGCAGTTGTAGGCTTTTTGACGTTTTATTTTTTGGCTTTTCTTGTTTGTTCTATATGAGACCTAGGAAAGAATTTGGAATTCGTGGAAACATGTTCACTGTCTCCTCTCATTATAAAAGTACAGTGATTTGAATGATTGTAGGAACTTGTCTCATTTGTAATCCGCATGTCTGGCAAAAAAGAGGAATCTTGATTATTTATTGGTTTGAAGTGCTGTTTGTCTCTCCAAATAATGCCTCTCTCTGTACTTTGTCTATATTTATTTGATCTTTCCCTACTCAAATTTTGAAAACATTTGCCTTCCCGTTGTATTTATTTAAAAAGTAAATAAACGTATTATGGTTTTCACTTCTGGTTCTCTTGTTAATTATATATGAGTAAAAATTCAATCCCTTTGAATTGCATGTATTAGGTATCTCTCTATAGAGAGACACTATTTTCTATATGATGACCGAAGTTTACATGGGATTAAAAAAAAATCCGAATTTCTGGAAAAAGTAAAAGTGCATCCTACTACTGAATTTGGATGTTTAATGTAAAAAACAACTCTATAACCATATGTATAATTGTGATTATCTTTGGAACCTAAAATCACCATGTAGAAAAATGATGGTTATTCATATTATAATTGCACTAATGCAGTAATTGTGAGTGATCTGTGATTGTTTTCAAGATGTTTCACCCTTCTTGTGTGAGTCTCTGTCATCTTTCTTGTATGTAGCCATAATTACTCCTATCCTTAATTCTGAATCCTTGTGAAGAATTTTATTTGCAGTCTGTAAAGGAATTGGATAATCTGAGGGTCCAACTCTCAAATACTCGAGCCACTGCAGATGCATCTTCACAGTCCGCTAAATCTGCACAGTTGCAATGTTCGGCACTGGCAAGAGAATTAGAAGAGAAAAATTGCTCGCTTAAAGAGCATGAGGCTCGTGTGAATAAACTAGGAGAGCAGCTGAACCTCCTACAGAAGGACCTTAGGGCCCGTGAATTTTCCCAAATGCAGCTGAAAGACGAAGTCTCGAGAATAGAGCACGATATCATGCAGTCACTTGCCAAGGCTGGGATAAACAAAGATTGTGAGCTCAGAAAGATTTTAGACGAGGTATCACCAAAGAATTTCGAAAAAATGAATCAGCTTTTGACTGTGAAGGATGAAGAAATAGCTAAACTGAGGGATGAGATTAGGATAATGTCTGCCCACTGGAAGCTCAAGACTGAAGAGCTGGAATCTCAGGTTTGCTTCTGTTACATTATAATACTCGTTATTTTTCTTGCAGAAAACCTCAAAGTAATTTTCACTAAAAAAACTCTGTGATTCTATTTTATTTTTGTTATGTGTGTGTGTCAGCTGGAGAAGCACCGTAGGGTGGATCAAGAGCTGAAGAAGAAAGTCTTAAAGCTGGAGTTTTGTCTGCAAGAAGCACGGGCTCAGACTCGTAAACTCCAAAGAGTAATGTTCTAACTTGATTTTGCACAACAATGAGCCTCAATAATTCAAACCAATTCGCATAATTTATTTCCAAAATAGTAATGCTTTTATTTTTTATTCTTCTATTCTTATTTCAACTTTGATGGCTACTTATCATCACTTTGATCACTTGTATACGATTATTCTGCAGATGGGAGAGCGTAGGGACAAAGCTCTGAAAGAACTAAGAGATCAATTGGTTGCCAAACAGCAAGCTGAGCCTCACGTGGGCCCAAAAAACTGTGATAAGCAGAATTTTTGGGATACATCAGGTTTCAAGGTCGTAGTTTCAGTATCAATGCTGATCTTAGTAATGTTCTCCAAGAGGTAATGATATTTAGATTATTTGATGCAACTGTTGTATATTAGGAAAATAATGGGTGGTAGGCTAAGGAAGTAGATTAGTGGGGGCAGATTTGGTATAATCTGTATCATTCGTAGTATTTCATATTTTGTAATTAGGGTGGTTTACTATTTTTTTTTGTAGATTTTAGCCAGTGCATTGTATGGTTATATAAACTGTAAGTCTTTCGTGGACAGATTAAGCTTATATTTTCAGTTAACTGTCTTGTGCTATTTGAACTTGTACTCTTACTTGATGACCTTCAATTTTGAGGTAATGTAGCTAGTCTCGAGTTGTCCTGTCTTAGGTTCATGTTTCCCAACTTGACCATCCAAATGGTTATTAGGGAGATCAATGGGACCTTTTTATTACATTTTTGAAGATAGCAGCACTTCAATGTCATATTCAATTATTTGTATTTGTAAGGTGTTTTCCAATTATAGCAAGCAACTTAATCTCATGTATCAACTGAAGATCTTCAAGATAATATAAAGGTTATTGATTTTTGGGCATGCTTGTTTATGAGTTAATTTACTAACTTTTATCTCATACTTAAAATTTAACTCAACTCCACTATCTTTAATATTATTGATATAATTAAATAATACAAACCAATCACTCTTACACATCACATCAACTTTAATTCACTATTCATCCACTCACATAATTTTAACTACTAATGATTTTCAATTATTTATTTCATACTTTTATATCAAATCAATTTTAATCATTTTAGTTTAAATATTATTTTAATACATTATTAAAATTTTACTAACAACTAATTATACTACTTTTTCTAAAATTAACTATGCTTAACCAAAATAACTCATTTTGAACAAATTAAGCATACCCAGGGTTTAAAAACAATACATTCAAGTTCAAGAGTCAAATACAAATAACAATGCCATATGCATGGGGCCAAGTTTCTATCCTATTCCTAGACCAGGACAAAGGGCATACATGGAAAGGTTTATGTCTTCTTGTTTTCAGGTTTTTCATACTACTTTGTTCAAGCAAGTCCCAATTTGTCAACTCGACCACGACTGCCCTAAAACCCCTTATAAATTTATGGGCATAAAGAAATAAGGATCCAACCCAGAAGCACAAGGGGAGACATGACTATTTGAAAATTTAATTGGATTTATTTATTAAATAGAGTTATTTTGAATAAAGTTTATTGAGTGGAGACATGACTATTTGGCGGACTGGGTCACCGGGCTTAAAAACACTGGCTCCAGTTCACCGGCCAGGCGGTTCTGGGCTGGTTCACTGAACTGGCGGTTCGGGACCGATTTAACCCAGTTTCGGGACGGTTCAACCGGGTTCGGTTTCGGTTTCGGCCCATGCTAGTTTTTATTTGAAAAAAATCGAGAAGGGGGGAGGGGAGAGGGGGTAAAGAAATTGGACATGGACTTAGTTGACATATCATAATTTTAAATATCAGTTAAGTTGGAAAAAAATTTTGAGTTACAAAATGATATTCTAACATGTAATATATTAAGTTGCCTACGTATCCCTTACTTCGGGAATAAAAGTCCGCGTAGTTCTCTTACTATACTTATCTTGATAAAAGTAAATGGCATGATTGAACCATCTGTCTAGTCCTCGTGATCATATGTGTCGCAGTCCTCTTCATTTCTAGTGATTCTACTAGTACTAGCAATAAAATCGGATGCCTCATCATCTTCATCATCTTCGACACTTAGCATGACCTTTTGTGCTTTCATTTCGGTCTTCTTCTGATCACTCAACAACATTTGAGCCTCCAAGTTTTGTGGCGTCAACCTAGACCATCGTGCATCCAGTGTTTATCCTCCCTCGCTGAATGTTTGTTCAACCGCCACTGTTGAGGTCGGGACAACGAAAATCTCATTGGCCATCAAGCATGGATGGATAAATGGGAGTCATCTTTGACCACCAATCCAAGACGTCGAATTTTTTGGCGGAACTGGTACACAAGCAATCGTAAGTATCAAATTCGTCATGAGGTAGTGATCGAGCTCACTGTATCCAGTCCCTTTTGCCCTTTGGATGGCAGGATTTTTGTAGGGATTAAAGTCATCCCACCAGTCATCAAAGTTTGGATGTGATCGAGGTAGTGATAACATGCGGATTAAAGTCGGTAAACGTGAGGTAGCCTCGATCACTACCTCATGGGATAACAGGCGGCGACGTGCAGGGCGACCATGCTTCCCTCGACGATACTCGGCGATCTGATGGCGACATCTTGGCGACTTGACCAGGGCAGTACACGACGGTAAACGTGGACTAGAGGACGTGACTCAGAACCGTTTGTCTAGTCTTATAGAGTGTATAATCGTCTCTGAGTCGCCAAATTTTAAAGCGTAAGTCCTCAATCCTAACTATAGATTTCACTGCATTAGGATTTAATTTAAAAAGATTTGGATGTGCACTTAGACTGACATTCTTCATAGAACCCAACAACTGATATCCGAGCCTAGCTAATTCGACCTTTGTGCACTATTTGAATTAGAAATTATGTGAACGCATGTGAATTATTTGTGTACGGGCACATCGCATATTAGTATAGAGTTGCAAGTTAGTTGTCTTTGCAAAAATTCTTGTGTCCGACTATCATAAGGCGTATGTATGTGCTTAATTTACATGTATGTTTGCCTCTTTTAAGCCTATGACATGTTAGAGATTTTGGGTTATCAATGGTTGTAACAAATTTACATACGCGATGAAACACCGCATAGTTTATCGCTTTATTAGAATCATTCATGTACCAGAAATGTGGTACAAAGACACTCCAACCACTTGAATAATGTGAAAAGAATACATATTTTTTTACCGACTCAGGTAGGACTAATTGCTTGAGAATGTCACCTCCTGAAATTGGAGAAATTAGAGGTAATCATCTACACTAATAGAAATCCTGGTGAGTTGGCTCAGTAGTTGAAGCCAAATGAGCAAAGTGCAAGCTCAATCCTCATTTGTCATGTTTTTGTAATTTCTTGCAAGAAAAATTGGTCTTGTGTTACTTTTATGGTTCTATTTTTTTTGTAAGTGGAATTTTAGGTTTTAGGTTGAATGAGTAATCAATTCTATAGTTGAAATGTGGGAAAATTGTGTTTAAGTAACTCAAAAATTGTTGGATTTGTAAACGTTCCGATGAATGTTTGAACAATCTAAAAAAGCTACAATAAGGCATTTTGTATGTTAGAACTCTATAAGGTTCTTTGGGGATGAGTAAGAAAAAACATAACACAATTCCAAGTTCAAACGGGCGCATACAAACTCCCAGTGCGCGCCAGACCCCGTCGCGGAGGCGACGCCTAGATCAGCCCACCAGTTGGGCGCGACGGATCATCACGGGCACGATGATCATGCGACCGGATGCAGTTGCTCATTCCAAAAGGTTTCTTTTGATTCCAACCCTAGAGATGTCTAAGAACATCAATAATTATCCATATGATTTGAAATCCATATAACACAAGAATTAGATAAGAAATTGAGATAGAACATAAGATAGTTCATGTTCATCTTATGTTCGTTGTTATTTCTTAACTTCTTGAGAGCAACACAAGTAAGTTTGTCGAAATCTTGCGTATTTGAAATACCATTATAAACAAAATAAAAGTCGTCGTATTTTGAAAACATTTTAAAAAAACTATTAGCATTAATATGTGGGAATGTTATTTCACGTGCCACAAATTTGATAATTTATTTGAATTCTTTGTTCGAGTTTGCTCGACGATCGTTCGTGGTTCAGGTTCGTTGTTTGATAGAGGCGTTCATTATCATTCTCTCGAACATTGTTCTTTGTCATTCTCCAGAACAGAAGTACGTATACACAACTAACACTTTTCAAATGTTTACTTTGTGTGACCGGGTGCATGACAATAATATCATATGACCCTAGAGTCTTGTCTTACATAATTTTGAGAACCATTACCACCTCCTTTACTCTACAGAACGCATTCTAGCAGACGTCTAATTCTTCAGTAATCGTGTGCAAGATCTGAGTAAATGCTTCTCTTAACGTAATCACCTCATGACCTTAATGCTTCTCTTAACGTAATCACCTCATGACCTCAAGAGATTTAGCATCTTCAAATTGAGAGTGAAGACCGACCACAAGACTCATAATAGCCACTTACTCTCTTTGAGCTTGTTGGAACCGAATGTTCCGTGTTGAAAGACAATAGAACATTTCATTCTTCACAAGTGTGTTTAAAGTTCATAAACGAAGATTTTAGAAACTGTGCCCTTGCTGCTGCACTCGATAAATTCTTTGCATGCATCATAATCGTGTAATATAATCTTAATTATAATCTTTACTTGATAATGCAGAAGATAAACAATCCTTCACTTTTCAGATGTACTCACGAGCCATGTGTTCAGAATGTTTGAGCTCAATGTTACTACCAACATTGAAGATCGGAGAAGTTGAGTCCACTCTCAACCATTCTGGTATATGTTGCATCTTTTTCAAGAGGATTATGAGTAAGGTGACCTTCCTGGGAAATAAGAGGAAGATGTTGGCGATCTGTCTTATTCCAATCTAATAAATTAGTTCCATATAACTTTTGATTTGTACTCTTAGCCACATAGGAGACCCAACTAGTGTTTTTTTTTTATCAAACATCAAATATATTAGATAAGAACTCAAATGTACAAACACAGTACGAGCAGCCAAAAGGCTACAGCATATCTCGGTTAACATTGAATTACCGAAATAGGCGGGGAAGACTCAAGAAGAGCCGACCTGAAGGACCAAACATGGCCGCACTAAACATAACAACCACTAAGAACACTAAAAAGAAACAACACTTAAACATAGTTCACAAGCACAGTAGGAGAAAATAAAGAAAGAAAAGACTGAATGTCATTTACTAGGATAGCACAATCTGGAGAGCATTGATCTTTTCCAGCCAATATTTGATGTAAGTCTTTATCTGTCACTGTGAGCACAACTTTCTGCCAACCAAATGCAAGTCCTTCTTCCAACCAAGCTCGAATTTGCAGCAGTGATGTATCTCTTGGTTGATGTTTGGGAACCTGCAATGATTTTAGACAGCTGGCCACCTCCATATTGTCTGAGAAAGCTATGCCTGTAGCACAGAAAGCATCTGAAGAAGATTCATTAACACTGGTAGCTTGAGGAAGCTGCCCTATTCCTTGAGTCTCTCCAGAGCTTGTGAGTGCAACAGAAGAAGTTACCCTGGGTTTTTGCTTAGAACTGTCAGCTGTGATATTTGAAATTCTAGCCATTCTCTCCTAGCACCTTCAACAAGCTTTAGCTCAGAAGTAGGCTCTCTGTCAAACAAGCAAGTGTTTCTCGTTTTCCACAACCACCACAATATGTAAACTGAAAGTGAGATCCTGTCCTTGTTGTGGGCTGAGTTTTTCAAGCAACAGAGATTGAACCACCAGTCAGTAAGAGTTGTGCTCTTGTTCATTAAGCAATCCCAAGATAGCCCAGCTAGTTTCCACACAATTTTGGCCCTATCACATTGGAACATGAGATGCTCTAGAGTCTCTTCTTCTTCATCACACCAGCAACAGTTGCCATTAATGTCCAATTTCTTCCTCCTCAAAGCACTGCTTGTACCAATCCAGTTGTGTAGACATCTCCAAAGGAAGTTTCTAAGCTTTGGCTTGATTTGGAGTTTCCAAATTTTGTTCCAAATTTTCTTGTCATTTGCTTTTCCTTTGCTGGACTCAGCTTGCTGTGACTGACTGAGCTTTGATTGCAAAATTGCTTGATAAGCTGCTTTCACTGAGAATAAACCTTTTTTATCTGTGTGCCAGATGAGTCTGTCTTTGTTGCCAAGATGACTAACATGTGTCTGTAGAATCAGAGTAGCATCCATGGGATTAAATGTTTGTAGTATAAGTTCAGTGTCCCATGCAAACTTCCCTGCAACCAAGAGGTCAGAAACTCTGTGAAGATTTAATCTGTCAGATTCAAAACAGCAGTTAGGCTTAAAACCATTGGGTTTGGGTAGCCATGGGGAGTCCCATATTTTTATAGACTGTCCATTGCCCACCTGGTACCTCATTCCCAACTAGTGATATTCGAATTCTTACTTTTAGATATTAGGAGTTGTACATTTTACATTATATGTTGTACCATAGTTTAGCATATTAGAGTACATAGAATTGCTATTGTATTAAGTAGCAACTCTCTCATTAATGTTATAGTATAAATACCGCATCTGTAAACCCTAGACATAACTTTTCTCATTCTTTCGTTTTTTTACCAAAGAGCAATACAAACTTTCCTTTTGTTTTCTCTGTTTGTTCACAATCTATCATTAGAATTCAAGAGTCAAACAAGCAACTACCTGAAATAAAAGGACTGACAAATAGTGACTCGCATTGCAAGAACCAGAAAATGGGTGGCCTAACTTACTATATTTTCTCCAAAAGTCAGAATAATATAAAATCCTCAAATCCAGAAAACACTATATACAACCATTGGGGTTCACATAAGGTGACAGCACAGTATCAGTATGCAAAACAAAGAAAAAAGAGAGAAAAAAAAAAGGCAAGATTCCATAATATCCTAAGCAAGTCGGCTCATTTAGCAAAACGGCCATCATCTATATACAATATCCCAGATTGACTGGTTTTAAGAGCAACAATGAATAAAAGAATTAACTAATATATTCACAAGTTTTGCCAGCAGAACCACATATGAATCTTTTTTAAGATGACATCAGCATCTTCTGTTTAACGCGCTCGGTCAGCTTCCCGCCATGTTGTTTCTCATATTCATCCTTCAATTCCACCAGTCGCTTGGAAACCTAATTAACATTTTGTTATGTCAATAAACAAAAGAATATCAAAAGAATGCAACCACCTGGCTTAAAGGAGATTAGCCTGATATTTTTTGTCTATTTGAATAGAGTGATACTTTATTTTTTAATCGATTGGGTTTTTCTAGTTACTCATTCAAAGTTTTCCAATTAGTCGACAGCTCAAAGCATAGTCCCCACAGGCAAGCAGGCCTCACATATGGTTCAGGTCAAGTTTCTATATATTACTACAAATAGTTGAGCCTTTTTCAGTCATTGACCAACCTTTATTGAGTAAGCCATTGGGAGTAGCATATCAGGGTTCATAGCATCCTCAGGAAAGTTGCGTAATGCATGTATTAGTTTCTCAAAAGGTAATTTCACCTGTTGCCAGAATTGAAAAAGGTAGGGAAAAGAAAAGAAAAAAAAAAGACATGTTTTACGCACCAAAAGTGAAAGAAGAAAATAAACCATGAAGTTTAGGATGCGAGAGGAAAATTGTACCAGGTCATCATGGCAGTATTTCAGTAGGGCTAAACCAACTTTGAAGACAATCTTAACACCCTAGGAAAAAAATGTTTATCATCCTAATCATCACAAATTCAAAATATTGATAAGTTGATTTCAAATCTCACGCTGAAAAAATGCTAACCTCAAAAAGAAAGACGTCCCAAATCCTAAGAGCCAAATGGAATGGGAATGAGTAAGAAAAAACTGTTATGAACCACTGGCTTGCGTACATGCTAGGATTAATCATTTCTTGAGCAAAATGCTCTCCCAACTTGGGTAAGTAATAGGCCACCAAATGATCCAACTGGTAGAGATACTGCTGCACAAGAGGCAATCCAACCTGCACAAAATAATATGATATTTCTTAGGATTTAATGCAAATAAGATAAAAGACACTATGACGTGGTTATATACTCAACATACATTTGAAACTACAGAATTGCAAGCATACAAAATAAAATCGAACTGCAGAAACAACCCAAGGAAGGATGATGCAAAGCCCATCAGAACAACTCACTGATTTTGCTTCTCTACCATATTCACGTATCTATGTCTGTGCCTTTAAAATGTTGCATTAATAATATAAGGCACTCTCAGTACTTGATTCTAAATGCCTAAACCAGCTATTTTTTTTCCTATAAAAATATTGAACCATCCATTTATTTCACACTCATGGATAATTGTTGCAGAAGGCATGCCTGGTGTGAATTTTAAAAATTGAATGCATTGTCTAGTGAAGATATATCTATACAAACAGACATCAACAGAGATGATTTACAATCATTGGTTTTAAATTGTCAACGGATATGATTTTGGAGTGACGTACAATATGGAGAATATTGCTGGATGAATTAATGGCTGCTCTAAGTTTGGTGATCAGGCTTCTCAAACGAGACAATGAAACTAGTTATTATGAGAAGTCCCCAAACATGAAATTTTGTAGCAATTTCTTAGTTTTAAGAAGAAAAAATTGTATTACTTTTCCAATAGCAACACACAAACTAATTCTACAAAAGAGAGAAAAGAGAAACAGCATCCCTGTTTTGCGTTTTCTAATAGCATACACCATTTAGACGCACAACAATTTCTCTTACAGTAATATAAATTCCATTATAGTAATTACTGTGGGCCCGTGGGAGCACAAAAATCTGAGATCCTATATCAACTAACAATTCAATTTGATGGTAGATTGTACCTTGAAATTTCAAAAAGCCTAAAAATGGTTCTCAAGCCAGGAAATACAACAGAAGTGAGGTGTTCAACAACTTGAAAAGCTTTGCTCCCTAATTGCGGCATATATAGTCATGACATGAGAACCAAGCAACAAAATTTTCCAATAGATCAATTAATTACTTTTAGATTCTAGCAAGGATGATAAATATTGATTTACTTAGTCTAGAGAGTGAATGAAATCTTAGACTAAAAACTATACCAAATATAGTCCTTCCATTGGAGCATGAACAGCTCCTTTCAAGAGCGCCACCAACAACCAAAATGCATCTTCTTCACTCATATAAAGAAGCAAGAGACCTGCCACAAATCCCATTCCCTGCAACAAAACATAAATCCAATAATACATTACTGACAAAAACATGTTCCTTAATAGATGATTTATGGGTTGATCGTATAAACCTGCACATATCCAACATCTCTGTCATATACAGAGTACGCTTTCAGGACATTATAAAGAGATCTCTGGCCTGGACCATGTCTCTGCTGGAAGAAAACATGTGAAGGGAATGTACGAGAAATATCCCGGATAATATCTAGCTCAGAAGCAGAAGTCTCATATATAACTAGTTGCTGCAGAAAAAAAGAAAAAGAAAAAAGAAAAAAAAAAAGAAAAAAGAACAAGTAAAGATTAATACACTGCTGGCGTATTAATTTTCTCTTTCATGAAAATAGTACATAGATGAGAAATAAGAGGGCAATGATGATTGAATTTATTTGCTTAATGAACATTATATTCAATTCAATATTTTATAAGAAAAGTTAAAAAATCTTTGATTCATTAAAATGCAATAAATATTCAAAGAGGAACACATTCTTTGCGGAAAATACTGTCTTTCTCAATTTTCTAAAATCATCTCACCAACAATTACTTTAGAAAAATTCTTCTCATCAAACTATCAAAGACAGAATTATGTAAACAATATCAAGTGTTAGTGCAAAGTTTGACAATGCATTGCTGCAAATTATGCATTAGATAGCATCCAACTCAATTCAGAAATGTCAGAGCAGCCAAACAAAATTTCTAAAAACACTTGAGGTGCAAATAGGAGGCAACGATATTTCTCTCTTCTTTGAAAAGCTAAATTCTGAATTAAAAGTGTGCAACTAAGAGAGCTCTCAAAATGCAATTTGCATAAACCATAACATTTGTTACCTCATAGACACCTGGATTCATGAGCAAGAGGTCCCGACTACCAGAGACTAATTGCCAGACAAGACCTCTTAGACAATCAGGGATTCCTTTCCTTATTCTCCTTTTAACGACATGAGGTTTCCGCCTAACATAATGCTTCCAATCATTTCCCCCCACCCCTATCATCTTTCTCCATTTTCTGATTCTCCTTTCCTCCCTGAAAAACAGAGTTATGATAGTTTTATGACGTGTAAAAGCATTCATCACTGCCAAATTTTCCTCAGTTTTAAATTTGCTCTAATTGGTCTACTTCTAAATCTAACTAATTGTCAGTTGAAAACTAAATATACACTGACAGGCAGCATCCATATGATAAAAACTACAATTTATTGAGTCCTGTTTAATCTTAATTCCCCTGATTAAGCACACAAATGTTGTGTACATGTGCATAATTCTTGACTGCAATCATTTTGGACTATCGAACTCATGCTTAAACTGAACCTACAGGTTGTTTAGCTTCTTAAGCCATCTCTACAGTAAAAGAAAATTTAAAAATAAAAAAAATGGAAGAGACTCAAAAGAAGCCTTCTTAATATGATAACCCATCCACTCAAATTTTGGGTATATGGTCTCATAATAGCACCTTTACTCTACACCTTCCAAGAGTTGAAGAGCAAGCCCTGCTTGTTAAATTTCCGAAATTGAAAAAAATGTTCGAAGTTCAAAAGATTTAATGGTTGAGTATTCAAACGAAAGGGGGTTAAAACATCTCAAAGTTAAGTTATGTGATAAGGGGGAGTTGGGCACTGCTCGGAAAGGCGATTTAAACAACAAATCATAACAAATTGCACAAGTTAGCAAAATGTTAGGATACAAATCAAATTTACAAAAAATTAACATATAAATAAAAACCATCACCTTTGTGAAACTGATATCCAGGTATTTGGCAACTCATTAATTTCAAAAACTCATTGCCGCCAAACCCTTTCCAAGTGGAAATATATAATGTTATTAGTTTCTACATGACAATGATCCCACACTAAAAGGAAGGGATGCACAATAAATATTGGGTGCTTGAAAGTATGGTGGTGCATTCAGTTACTTTTTCTCCAGGATACCGAACTAAGCCCTTACAATACAGCGCATGATGTATCATCATTTACATTGTTCTTAACAACCACAACACAAGGATAGCAAAAGTGACATACGAATGTAGAATTAGAAAAAGACATCAATGCAAAAAAAGGAAATAGAAACTTATTAATTACCTTTCGTACTCCGAAGCGGATTTATTTTTCATAAATCCATCGGGAGAGTTGCCTTCTTGCTTTACAAATCCAAATCTATCAACCTTAGGCAGCGAAATGAGTACCGCCTCCTGTTCTTCGCCTCTTTTCTTTTCCATACTACGATTTTACCAAAATTAACAAGCCCCTCCGCTCTGGAACAACATTATGCCCTTCAGTAATGCTATTCGAACCCAATTTCAACATGAAATGAGGCAGGAAAACACGGAAATTTTCTGTGGAAAAAAGAAATGATTGCTTAAGAAGGAACAAAATACACAACGGAAAAAGAAATGCGTTGGGGGATTCAGAGAAGGGAAACTTCCTACATAAAAGCCAATGGAAAATTAGTAAAAACGAAGGTAATTGGCATAAAAGATAAAAGAGATGTTCCAGAACAGCATAAAATAAATATTAGCCATTTGCGGAATTAAAATGTAATATGAAAGATAAACGAGCAACTATTACAATTATAGCTAAATTTTGTGCACAGATGAAAACAACGCATTTAAGAAGACACTAACCAGAACAGATCAACACAATGAATTCCTTTTACAAACTTATGATGCCTTTTCCTTGTCAACACGGAGGAAGAGGGAGAGAAGATGTCGGTTCATTTTATTTTATTTTTCTTATAAAAATGATTTTTTTCTTTTAATTTCCTTTAATTTCAGATCTATAAATGACACTAACAGTGGCCTATGCTATGCCGATGCGGGTCCCTTTAAATATTCAAAATTTATTTTAAATAAAATTATTTCTATTTAAACATCTTATTATAACAAAAAAGTATATAAAATATGAAAAATTATATATTCTAAACCATTTCATGTACACACATTGGTTTGCTTTGTGGCAAGTCGGCTACACTACAAATTAAAATTTTCAACTCCTATCAATTGATAACGCGTTAACTTGTTCCGGTAAGCACACTATAGTACATTAATATAATAGTTAATGTTATTTCGTAAATAAAAGTTAATTTAATATTATGTATAAAAAGTTTGATAACAAATAAAAATATTGTTAAGTCTATAAGAAAATTAAAAACAAGAAAATCAAACAAAAATAAATAGAAAAAAATCATAGTTAAACAAATTTCCACATCTAGGAAATATTTAAATTTTATATCTTTTACTAATTAGATATAATTATCTTTAATGTGATTAATCTAACCATATTCGTTTATTTATATTATCTGGTTTGCAAAACAACTTCGATTTACTTGAACGACTTTGGAGCAGCTCACATCCGGTTAAAAAACCTAACAGCAGTGGGAGTTGTTCTGGCGTAGACCCTCAGACAATCAAGTCAAAAAGTGTATGAAAAAGACGATGAACAGTAGCAATATAATTTGTATGCAAGCAATAGTGTTAACGTTGGATGATTATACCTCACACATTCATATAGGGGTGCTATCTTGTCGCCCAAAATTGCTCGGATGGGTTGCCCAGTGCCCAAGCTACTCGTTCGTACTGCCTGAGTACCCGAATCGTCCGATTGTGTTAGGCCACGTGACCCAATCTATGAGTGATTCTATCCTAATTGTATTCTTCTTATCCATTAGTCTGCCTTGTTAGACAGTCTAATCATACAATCGGTCCGACCTCCTTTGAGTTAGGTTGCCTCTTCATTGTACTCATACACTATGTCCCTCAGGTCGATTTGTCGACCTATATACCTCGAAGTCGAGTATCTATCAAGCCATCAAAAGGCCCTAGCTCGACCTGTTGGCGAGCTTCCTTGTCAGTAGAGTCACCATCGACCTCCTGTATCCTGATCTCCGAATGACCTACTGGTTCACCTGGTTTAGTTAGACCGCTTCACAGGTCGAGTCGACTTAGTATGGTGTCACATATCATTATCCAAATCAAATAAAATTAATATGTGCCCCGTGCGATGCACAGAGAAACAATATTACGCTTGTGTTATAAATTAAATATATAAATAACATTAATCATGAGTTGCCCATTGTTTTCAAAACTGGACCGAACCAGACAGTTCAAGCAGATGTACAGGGAACTGGTTTATTAATTGGTTTGGTTCGCTTGAATAATACATTTGCTAGTGAACCAGTCAACATCAGTCAGATGAACTGATGGGATTGGTACGTTTTTAAATAAAATTTATTACATTTAAAAATATTTTTAATATAAATAAAAATAAATATTTAATAAAATGCAGATTTACAATTAATATCAATTAGTTTAAATATTTAAAAAATTTAAATTATTCATATATTTAATTAATATTTTTATATAAGTTTATTACAAAATGTACTTATCATATGTGCACTTCGAAAGTCCAAAAAATCCCACATAAAAGAATGAAGACACGACCCACCTAGAGTAAAAACTAAGGGCAACGCAAGTCCCCGCAACAAATACGCAAGAGACCCAAGACGCAGTAATAAGCACACCGACCCCCAATCGGTAGATGTCAGCCCTTGTTGATCCCTCACTACCGATCTCGCATTGTCGATCTCTCTACGGAATGTGAGCGCTCTCTGACAAATGAAACGGGTAAAGTCGTTGAAGCCAGTGAAACTACTGCCCACTAGGTCTTGTCTCATCGCTCAATCGGTCTTATCCCACAGAGCCGAAGATATAGTCCCATCCTCAAAAGTCATATTTTTGCATGGCGCCATGCGTCGATCACCTAGTCACCAAGGTGGCAAATGGCCATAATTGTTTTTACCTTTTTTTGGCATATAAATGAAGTATCTAGCACCTCATAATCATCATCACCACATAAATCAATACAACCATACGTGAGTACATCACAAGCTCCAACAGAAGAGTTATCATTATAAGAAACACTCTCTAAAAATCATATATCTGGAGAATTTATTCTCTTTGCCGATCTCCTAAAAGATCGACATAATCGTGTGTTCTCTTTATTTTCCTGCTTTCCATTTCAAGCTAGAGTAATTTACGTCAAGCAATCTTATAAAACAGATCTAAAGTACACTTAGTTCCATAACTAAGAATCAATAGTTAATGAATCTACTTTACGAAATCAGATCCAGGAATGTCTAAATCCAACCATGCTTCAAGCTAATATGATGACAACACTCCTTCATATCCTGATGTTGTCGACATCTTTTGTAAAAGGCCTTACCGACCTTTTCTCCAGAGTCCTTCACAATAATCCTTCTAATAAACCTCACCCTCATGCCACTCACCAAAATCTTGATCAAAATCATAATTCTCAGTCTCATGAATTCCAATCTCATGAAAGATTTGAGGCCCTCGACAAGGATAAAGAAAAACAACACCCTGACCGCCCCAACTGTTCAAATTGTTGCGAAAGCATGAATGATAGCCAGGCCCACATGAGCTCGAATGCCCAATCGGTGTATAACCGATTTGGTAACAAACGTGAAGATCTCCATAAGTAGATTACCAAAAAAGATCATCCAAAGGAAGCAAATGAGATCACCTCACTCAAAAGTTAAATTATCGAACTCGAAGCATGACAAGCATTAGAAACAACCAATCAATTTACCTCTAATCCTATTTCATCCACAGAAGGCACATTCTTTGATCCTACTTCACCACTCTCTTCCCATATATTGACTGAGGTCCTCTGTGTTAAGATCAAGGTTCCCCAAATAGGTCTGTACCACAGCGATACCAATCCTGATTCCAGGTAGGACAGTATGCATCATGGATGGATGTCCATTGTGTTAGTGATGCCCTACGATGTCAGACTTTCTATTTAATAATGGGGCCTAAGGCCCAACGATGGTATCATTCCTTACCCCCAAGGTCGATCCACAACTGGGAACAACTGAGATCTGCGTTCCGCATGCATTTTGTGGGATCATATATGTGTATGATCCCCAAGGAGTCCATAACAAACATCGTTTAGCAAGCCAATGAAAGTTTGACGGATTGCATCGCCTTATTCAATACTTGAGTCCAAAACATGGAGCCTTGTCACAAAAAACTCTCATGGTTTCTGCTTGTGCTGACCTTCGACCAGATTCCTTGTCTCGGTGGTCGCTTTGTTAGAAAAATCCCACAACTTATCAAGAGATTATTTCGCGATCCCAACAACACATAACTGTAGAATATCAATGTCTCTGTCTGCCTTCGGGATCCCTCTCGAAGTTCCCTCCAAATATGAGGATGATTCTTTCTACCGATCGTAAGAATCTAGGGAGTCCCAATTTTCTCGTCCTAAAATCCTCTGAGAAAGGCCAGACGGAACCACGACCCTTTATCAAAACATATACTCTATAGGGGTCGTGGCTATTTTTGAGGAAATAGAAGGTAAATGAATCCTATCCAATCCCTGTCCAATCATGCACGACGAAGCTACCTTGGACAAATCCAAGTATTGCTCTTGTCACAAATCGGATGGTGACACTACAAATATGTTGGGATCTATGAGGATCATCGTAATTGTGTAAGTCACAAGTTAATCTACGAACAAACCTATGCACAACAGATCTAAAGGTTAACGTAGAAAACTTAGGGTTAAAATTTGCAGACTCTAAGATGTTGTAGATTTCCGTTGATGGAGATCATCTGATTTTTCACTCGTCGGAAATCGCCTCGTCGAACATCTCAGTGGCATCGGGTATCGTGCGGGTCGTGCAAGGTTGCAGCTAGTCGTGCGGGGTCACAACTGGTTGCTCGAGTCGTGCAAATGGCATCGAGCAGCTGTCGAACTGCAACAGGTCGTGCATGGGTTGATGCGGGTCGCTGGTCAAGAGCAGGACGCGAGGATATCACAGGTCTCGACGAGCAGCGAGCGGCAACGTGCGCTGGAGCGGAACGCATGCATGCGGTGTGCGCTATGGGAGTAGGGCGTTTTGACATTGCTGGACGCGAGGCGCTGGGGAGCGGGACGTCAGGACAGATCGCGCTGGGAGCAGCAGGTCGGGTGCTCAGCAGGTGGTGGTCAGGAATGTCTTCCAAACATAAGAGATGTGGTGTATTATAGGCTTAAATAGAGACCCTAAGGAGTCATTAAGTTTGGCTTCTCATATATGGGCCTAACTGTAGGTTGGGCCCACTCTGTTCATATTCGAATAATATAGTCATTCCAATAAAGTAGTATTATTGCAACTCCCAATTTAATTCCTAATTTACGATTAGAGCTCTGATTCTAAATTACTTGAATTACATCCCCATGTTTAAGATATAATGTCCATCAATCGATTCGACTACTGACAATCAAATCAACTTATATCTTGAGCTGAAGCTAGCACCACACAATACGTTATTATCATGTCAGAACATAATCCACCTCTAGGGTTTAACATAATAATCTTTCTAAGTACACTTCGGGGATATCATCAAACCTCAATCAGACGTACATGGTGACCGTAAATATTTTAACGACACACCATGTCATGCATCATTTACTACCCAACTCAACCAATTATTGATTCAGGCAGAATGAACCTCACCGTGATTACTCAAAATAGCAACTATTGCATGCGTGTACCTGTTTGTATCTTATGGATTAAGAGTATGTGGTATTAGCAGAGATCTAGTTCATTTACACAAATCAGTATAAAACGAACTGCTCCTCTCTGGGATCCGTTAAATACATAATTGTACTAGCGTAACTAATCAGCCAAGACAAACTGTACCCTTCACACTACAACTGTTCTGATGTCTTTGTTCAATTTCCATGTAGGTTGTGAACCATTTATTTTATGTTTCGCAAGTCATTGATAAATGATCTTCTGTCCATCCGTGATGAATCATTTATCTAAAAGCAAAAAATAGAACAGTCAAAACTTAGTTTAATCAAACATGAATTCTCATTCAACATAAAATAACGTAAAAAACATCTAAAGTCAAACTTTCAGTATATACACTAACAGTTGTCATAAAATTGAAAAAACCATCAACCTGGTCGTTCAGAAAAAGAGAAATTGCATCTCGATCGCCCAAAAGAACTGGAGCAAGAAGTTTCTAAATTAATTGATCATAAGTTAATTTGAGAGGCTCGATACCCCGGATGGGTTTCCAACCCTGTGGTAGTCAAATAATCCAACGACCAATGGCTATTGTGTATCGATTTTATCGATCACAATCGCGCATACCCCAAAGATAGCTACCTTTTCCTCATATTGATTATATGGTGGATGCAACCTCCGACCACAAACTTATGAGCTTTATGGATGCTTTTTTAGGATATAACCAAATACCCATGCATCTTGGCGATCAATAATATATCGCTTTCTACTCCGCTCGAGGTCTATATTGCTATCGCATGATGACGTTCTGCCTAAAGAATGTTGGGGCTACCTATTAGCGACTCGTAAACAAGATGTTCGTCGAATTGATAGAAGAGCCTATGAAAGTTTATGTTGATGACATGATAGTAAAATCTCTGTATGCTACCGATCATGTATCTCATTTGAATGCAATGTTTACTATTTTAAGGTATTCCATGATGTTAATCTCAAGAAATGTACCTTTGAGGTAGAATCAGGTAAATTCACCAAGAGTATAATAAGTAGTCGGAATGAATTAGAATAAGAAAATACAAATATTATTTATTTATAAATATAGTATAAATAATTAAGTATTGTTTACAAAAATATATATTTGTCAAAATCTTTATTTTACAAAATACCATCACATATATTTTTCTAATTATTAGTTTCCAATTTCGTCAAATATTATTGAAAATTTTGATTTGTGAGAATACATGTTGTTATTCGAGCATAAAATCGTAGTTGTGTTAACACAAATTTCGATTTGTGAGAATACATGATGTTATTCGAGTTGTTGATCTAGTTGTGTTATATGTGATTTCTAATGTGCATTGTAAGTTGGGACTTTCTAGTTTCTAGGTTAGTTAGCCTTCCTCCATACCTTGCAATAGGTATCCTTTCTCACTATTAGAATGACAATTGTAACCATACATATTGCCTCGTAAATGCCTAATACCTATTATATATTTACTTTAATTTAAATTATAATTTATTTTGATTCATGAAAAGGAATATTTGTATAATTTCTAGATATGGTTATTAAAAAAATAATGTACTGGAATTGAGGATCCAACAATCACGCCGCCGTCAGCCACCACCGTTAGTCGTTGTTCGTCGCTCATTTCGTATTGGTAACTTTCAACAAATCATATATCATAATCAATCTATTGACTTGATTTATCCAATATCATATTTAATTTCATCATACGATACATCAGACTTTGTCAATTCATTGTTAAAGTTCAAAAAAATTAAAGACTTTGTTAAATCATTGTTAAAGTTTAAAAAAATCAATGAATTGTGCAATAACCTTTGTTGGAATTTTACCGGGACCCGATCGTTGGATTTTTGTGAAACATATATTTACAAAAATCATTCTCATAAGAAATCCAACGGTATCTCCCGATCAAACCTTGTAATAGCAAGAGAAACGTCGGTGAACTTTCAGATTTCTGGCGGTGCGCAGTTGCGGAACGAATACTTCAATCGGCGATTTTCAGCGACCCGATGTCCAATTTGATGAGTGAACTCTAATTTTTGTTGCTCTTTTCATGGACAACAATATCCACTAATAAATTTGAAGTGACATTTTCTCCAAATTTTTCAATTTTTTTTGTTTCTAAATTTTATGCTATATTTGCGGTGGATACAAGAATTGATTAAATGAAAACTCCGGGAATCAGAAGTGAAAATATGATAAAATTTGGGTCCCATATAATAAAATTTTCTCATTATTTTTTATGTAAGAGTAATTTACTAGTTTAATAATGAGATTATTTTTAAAACAATTTATTTAAAGTTAAAAAAAAAAATGTGTCGTAGTTTCAGTGAGTGCATTTTGTCAAGTATGTAAGAAATATGTACGAAGGGTATCTAGCGATAGAATGACAGTTGTAAGTTTTATTGATGTATGAAACTTAAACATCCTTCTTATGATGCNTACCAAGAAAATATTAATAATGCATCTTCCAAGTGCACCATACAAATGAGAGAAGTATCTCATTTTGGTGGAAATGGTTTAAATTGAAGAATACAGGATACACGCACAAACCAAAGTCTAATGTGCATTGTAAGTTTATGAAACTTAAACGTCCTTCCTATGATGCTTTGTCCATTAGCTGGATTGGAGAGAGGATATTGGACTTGCTGGTCTCAACAATACAACCATTCATTACCATTTCCTCCAGCATAAAGTGTGCTTTCTCTAGATGAAACATTATGTCCAGCTCACACTGCAAAATACACACGCACGCAACTTTAGAAAATCGAGCTTGCAACATGCATTTATTTCTCTCTAATCATTAAACTCACCACATTTCCGAAATGGCGATCCATAGTCTCAACCAGTAGGTGAATAAATTCCAGAATTGCAAGCTCATTCTGCAAAAACAGAAATGTAGGACTTTAGTATTTGAACATAATAAAGTAATTAGAAGTTATATAACCAAAAAGCAATTGTTGTGCATGAGCTGACAAGAAAAAGCTATGTTCTACTAAAAGCTGCGAAGTACTAGGCCAAATTCTCAAGTAGTTTGACTATAAATGAACAAAATCGACAATTCTAACACACATTTGCTTGAGAAACAAGACGCGTCCCGCTAAAAAGATGCCAATCAACTTAAGCACACGCAATAAGGCTCAATAGTTTGGAAATAAATAAATAATTTTATCTCTCAGTAATCCTATTTTCTCAGTGGATTATTGAATTTGAAGAGAGAATGTTCTAAAAAATATTATTCGCTTTGTCAAAACAGAAGCTCTCGAAGCATGGATTACACCGACACAACGACACACTTCTCAAACTATATACCAACTTCTATTTGTTACAAAATGTGTAAGCATGATTTTTAATTTAATTAACAAATGACTGAAGGGTAATCTTCCAAAAACATACACCTAAACCAACTTCATTTTAATTGGATTCTACAGAGATTTAAGTTCCTCCGCCACATTTGGTGTATATAACTTGGGTCAAAGCTTTTTCCAAAGAGAACTTTGTTTCTTTCTGATAGAGGATATAAAATAATGCATTTTGGATACAATAAAAGAATCCTAGTTCGACATATTAATATTATAAAATAATGCGTAACACTGCCACTTGGTGCACACAGTACCAGCATTAGCATAAGCATGGAATCTCAATTCTTAATACATCCTCTAACAAGCTTACGACATCTTATTCCTTTCCAGCTAAGACAAAGCAAAATAAGTCCAACTTTTTAACATGAAAGTCCAAATTTGGATCTTTATCAACTCCCACAAAAAGCTCCGAAATTAATGAAATGGAACTTAAAATACAGCTCGAAGAGATAACTATTAGTCGCACTTGATAAGGTCACCAATTTGCTCTCCCACATATTCAAAGTTCTAAACTAACATGAACGCTTTGTGCATAGACTTCAGAAATATGAAGAAGTTACCGAGTAAATGGTTACTGATGAAGATAGAACTTAGTTAAAAACCCAAGCAAACTAACAAGGCAACCTAGTTGTTCTCCAGGAATTCTAAAAAGATGCAACCTCATTTAAAAGAACCAAGGACTTTCTTTTTAATGTTTGTATACTTAGAGATGAACTAATTTTATTGAAGGACTTCACTCAGCTGGTATAAGAATTTAGAAAGGTGTATTCCATCCATGATCAAGAGTGAGGACCCAAAAATTGTGAGCCACAATATACAGGAGATCAAACAGGTCAGCCTTTTAGCTTTTGCGCTACAACTCACAAACAGGAAAATTCAAATATGCCACTTATGAACTTTTATCAGCGATAAATATGCTTCTTCGTGGCCTAGTCATATCAATGAAACATAATGCAAAACCATTATATAATTACTCTATGACCATCACCAAAGAAGACTATACATACAATCTATACATAATGGAGCTTTTTAAAATGCCCCCATGAAATCATTCACCAAGTCCTGGACATTAAAATATAACAAGAGTAGCAGGTATAATTCAAGAATATAGTGTATAACTTACTTCTTCATTGTCGACTCCAACCAAGAAAAACAGTGATGCATATCGCCTGTAGATCACTTTGTAATTCCGATGCTCAACAAACGAACACTGTTTAACAAAGAAGGTACATCAAACTACCACCAAATAAATAATAAAATTTATTTTGATAGGCAATGAAAGTGCTGTTTATCCAAAACTCCAAATTTATATTCATTTCACAAAAAAATTATTCCAGATGAAAAGAAACATTGAAAACCATTAGCACACTCTGACACATGATTTGAGATTTTAATGACTTTCCAGAATTGTTCATTAGATGACTTCTCCGACTTTTTGTTTTTCTTTTCAGTTTCTCATCTAATCATTTTCACAAACCTATATAACACATTAGACCTTCCAAAAATGCAATCTTTCAAAATCAACCACCAATCATATTCAGGACTAGTCAGCACATGCAGTAAAAAATTAAGAATTCGCAGTGGTATGGTTATTGTTGCTGTAAACAACAAACTCGATAGAAATAGAATAAACATGCAAATCAACAGATTCAAACATGTACAGTAAACACAGATATTATGGGTACATACACAGATATTATATACAGAAACAATAGATATTAAGACCTGCTGCTCATTACGGGCTAGGCATTTGCGGACAATTTCACCTTCCAAAGCTCGCCGTTCTTCGAGATTTAGGTATTCATAGTACTGTGCAAGACGGGTCTGACCTTGCTTGTTCACCATTAGCACGAATCTTATTCCCATCTTGTTTTTTATTATTTTTCCTGCACCTCTTTCCTCTGATTGTGAGTATTGAGACTCAAACTCAAAGTCTAATAAAATTTGTTTGCTCAACAATAACATGGTTTTCAACAAGGAATGTCATTTGCCGAGGTTCTTTTATTTCCTCCTAAAGAATATTTTCAATCTTAATACCTTCTAAAGTAATCAATTGTATGCACTCCTTTCTACACAGCCCATTTCCATCCAAAACAAAGCTATCATATGCCGCACACATGAGTTTTACAGGGTAATTCATCTCTTCACTTACTAGCACCTTAGTGACCTCAAAAAATGAATCACCTTCCCACTGATCCTCAAATTCACTCAATCAATACATTTTGAAACAAAATTGGAAATCGGAATGAATTTTTCAAATCAAATTTACCAGCAGCAATTGTTCAGTACAATTGTATCAAGAACAAAAATTACTTAAAAATGTACATCATGATCCCAGCAAACAATAAACTGTATCCCTGGACAAAGAATTGGCTTACTTAGTTACCAGATAATATAACTTGATATGAGTTTTCCCAGGGATTTATGCAGTAGATGCATGTTTGAACTTTGATCGGCTTAGTCTAGAGTTTACCACCATTCCAATTCCATATAGTGTTTCTTCTCTATTAGAAAAGAAGTTCTCTTATTTTTTATATTTTCTAAGAAATAATTATCTTCAAAACAATAGCTCAAACAAACAAATACAAAACTCAACGCCTGTAATTAACTAACCAGGCTACACGAATGAGAATCAATTCTATAAAGCCTTTCTATGCCACCTCTTAAATTGAAACTTCAAGCCGTCAATTGAGCGGGGGAGGACAGAGGAGAGTGTCGAGAGGATTTGCTGCGTGAGGAGTACAGAGGACAGAGGAGAGTGTCGAGAGGATTTGCTGCGTGAGGAGTACAAAAGAATCGATTAGGTACCAGTTTACATTGATCAGCTATCCATTACCTGAATTACCCGAAATTCAATTGTCAACAGCAAAATTTTATACCTAATCGTTCTGCAGGTATNTAAATTCTTTTTATTATTTAACACAAACCCTGAAAATTAATCAACAAGCTGAGAAAGCCACCACAAGCCAATCAACTAAGCACCCACATCAACCAACATAAATTACAGTCTCAGTCCTCGAATAGAAGATCGGTCCATAAATAGAAAAGAATAGAAGAATAATTTTTAACTGCCCAGTCAGACTCAAATTGGCATTCAATTCCATAATTCAGAAATCATAAAAGACATTGGATGATGGAGCAACATACCTAGCCGATCCCAATTAAATAATAATATAATAATAATAGCATTTGCAATCGAAGATAGAGAACATGTGAACAACTACAAGTACCCGGAGAAGGAGATTTTCAGCCGCGTCCGGATGTGTGTTACTGGGCTGCGAACTGAACCTTGGAAGAGATTAGGACAAGTTTCGGTCCGGTTCTTAGAGCATGGTTCGGTTCTTAGAGCAACCCCAATATATATTCAATACAGATTGACCCTATTTGTTTAAGTAATTAGATTTACTAATACAATTGCCCGTGCAAATGCACGGGAGCTACAAAAAAAAAAATCATTAAAAGAGCATTTGTAATTCATACAAATGCAAAACGGTTAAATATTATTGAATATTTTCTTATCTACAATGTTCTGTTTTTATCATAATAAATTAATATTTTTAATCCTTTCACATTTGTAACTCTGAAACAACGACGTAAAATTTTAAATTGTTTTTATCATCACAAATTAATATTTTCAATCATTTCTCATTTGTAACTCATGAAACAACGACGTAAAGTTGGTCATGCGTAAATACAGAGTTCTTCAGGTATACTCAATAACCAAAATATATATTTTATTTTTTATATGCATGAGATATAATTACCGATCAATAATGAGTTCTTACAAAAAGAGTCTTTAGCCAAATGGGTAAAACTTTTGAAGTTATACATTGAAATTTTTATTTGAAGTATCAGCATAAAATATATCTTCAACCTTGCCATAAAAGTTTTATATCTGCCGCTTAGTTTTATATCTGCCGTTGGTGCAACAATAAAGTATGGATACCCTTGACTCCACCTTCTGTGATGAAACGCTTGAACAAATCTACATGAATTTATCTTCCGTGATGAAAACGTTTGAACAAATCTACACAAATCTACATGAATTTACCTTCCGTGATGAAACGTTTGAACAAATCTACATGAATTTTTTTTATTGAGGCATGGATTCTATATTCTTGTAAAATGTTAAAAACACAAATATTAGGAAACAAAAGGTAACGATTCAAGCCACTAACAATGTAACTTTGAAACGTGTATTAACTTCTATCTTATATATCTAACTAAATAAAAAATGATTTGCCGTGCAAGTAACAATTCAAGCCACTAACAATGTAACTTCAAAGCGTGTGTTAACTTTAATTTGACTTTAACTTCCAAACTGACTTTCATGTATTTTTAACTTCCATATGTTAGACGTGTTACTGCGTTGTTGTGTTAATATTTTTTTCTTAAAAAAAATAAAAATCTTATGATCGTACTTTATTTTAGACTTTTTTGAGTATTGTTAAGTATGTTTGACTGATTTACGTATTAAAAAACAAAATATTTTATGAACATAAATTTATAAGTTTAAAATAATTAACTACATACCATTTAACATTTAAGTCATATTTTTATGTTATCGCGATATTACTAATAAATACAAAAGGTATTTACAAAATACTCTTTATATTATGTAATATAATATTTATTACATATATATATATATAATACTATTTGTTTAATCGATTAATTTAATCCTGATCATATGTTTTAGATTTTTCAATTGTAGAAAATGAACCAAAAATTATTTTACAAACATGATGTTATTTATTTATTTATTTATTATGAAGAATGTTTGTGTGATTCAGTGCATGTTTTTAAAATATTTTATATCTAATTTCACTATTATTAGATTTAATTTGTATGTTGTAGAAAATGGAATAAAAAATATTCTACAAACATGTTTTGATTTATTTATTTATTTATTTATTACGAAGAATGTTTTTGTGTTATTCATTGCGCATGTTTTTAAAATATTTTATATCTAATTTCACTACTATTATATTTAATTTTTATGTACAAAATTAAGATAAAAAAATTTATAAAATTCAGGCAAGAAGCATACGAACACTTATAATTACTTTTTAATTGTTTGTATTAAAAAAAAATGAGTCACACTGATGAACACGTGTCAAATCATTAAATAATGGATCTTTATTCGTTATCGGTAAACTAAATAAATATTAGTTGAGGTAGTTCATATTAATATAAATATGAACACGTGTCAAAGAATGTGAGTATTTTCCAAAAAAAGTAAGAGTGTTGTAGGACCCACATAAAACTTTCTTAAAATAGCAAATGTGTTGCCTAATTATATAGTAGATAGATGACTTTTTTTCAGTTAATAAGTTCTTTAACAATAAAACAAATATAAAATTTTCATAGAAAAACTAAAGAAAAATGTTATTGACTGTTTAATTTTTTTTATTTTTTTTCGGAATGATAGAAATCTATACTTATATAAAAAGGTATTCTATTTACTAGAAATAGTAGGCAGAAAAGTTAAAGGTAATGAATGCTTACCGGAAATAGAATGACATTAATTACAGATTTGTTTTGGTATTTATAAGCTTGACATTAAAAATTTGTTATGGGATAAAAATCAAAACCGATTTTTTTACCTTTGCTGGAAAAGTCAAAAGTAAGTATAGATTTGTTTATATTATCAAATCATAAAAAGATATTAAATCCATATTGTAAAAAATAATAATTCATATAATTTTATAACAATTCTACTACACTATTTAACAATATTTCTTTTTTATTATAAAATAAAATAATAATTAAATATTATATGGTGAACAACAATAAGTAAAATTGCTTATCTTATATCAAGAGATAAATTTATATGCTAAAAAAAAATTTTTATTAGTATAAATGTTTTAGTAGAGAATATATTAATTATTTTACAAACTAGCCTAACATGCTCATATTTAATGTTCTGGCTAAAATAACAACACTGGTTAAAAGATGTGGAAAAAAACTTATAATAACTCTATTGTTTTTTAGACTTAACGTTGATTAAAAGAGGTAGAAAATAGATAATAACCCTATTACTTTTTAAACTTACATGGTCAAGGCTGTGAAAATAACTCATTTAATATATTTGTACCATGCATAGTACGGGGTAAGTACTAGTATTATATAAAAGCGCACAAAAGTGCAAAGGTACAACCACAAGTTGAATACAAACAGCCAGCAGTTGAATGCAAGCAGCCAACAGCTGAAAAGACACGGGACCGAATCCCGTCTAGAACCGACCCCAACGGGGTAATACTCTCCAAAAATAACATGGCGACACTAAAAAGCTCCCAATAAAAAACAGACAGAAATGACCCTAATAGGGTAATACCCGAGTGTACGATCCCAGCAGGATAATAAAGACACACTCGGGCTAACCAAGGCCAACGGCCCAAACCTAAAACACGGACAACACATAACAAGAAAAAACAACGCAACACGCAAATCGAAAACTACAAACTAAGAAAACACATATGGCCTCCCTCAGCAGAAACATCCGAACAAGACAGAAGACAAAAGCCAATTTCGATGAGAGCTCCGAAACTCAGGTACCTCGCCCACCACTGCAGAAGGCCTAGCAAGAAGAAGACTCAAGACACTGAACAAACCGAAGAATCGACCCGCATACTAACCATAAGACATCATAATCGCCACCCAACCGGCTAACACCACTAGCCAATCCGAACCATCCCAAGATTGCCTAACCCCACTAGCCAATTTGGAAATAGACGGCCTCCCACAAACTCAGAAGCTAAGAAAGAGGAGGAAGGAGATGAACGACTCCGACCCTACCCGGAGGAACAAACCCCAGCCCAAAACAACCACCTATCCACCCAACCCGCAGGGACAAATCCCGAGCCGACTCCAGCCAAAACCGAAGACCCGCACCCAGGATGACCTGCCAGCCGACAATAAGGGACGCTCCGTCCAAAGATTTAACCCGATCACCCCACCCAGCCACCGAGGAAGGACCACAGCTCTCCCGCTGCCACACCAGTATGCCCGCGCACGGCGAGCCGAAAAGAAAACTGAGACTGTCGATAGAGGCTGGAAAGAGGGGAAACTTGAACAGGGACGACGCAGCTATAGAGCCGCACCCAGCCACTGGTGCCGCACTCCACCTAGCCACTCCACCCTGGGACTTCGGCGACTCAATCACAGATCGACAAAATCGCGACGAGAGAGCCATAGATCTGAATCCGCACCCCACGGCCAGAGAGAGAAAGAGGTGAAAGTGCCACGAACAGCGGCGTGGTTGCTCGATGGTGGGCAGTCCACCGGCAAGCCGGATGGACGCCGAGAGAGGCGCAGATTGCCGGCGTTGAAGCTAGGGTTAACGAGGGAGATTTTGGGAGAGCGCAGAGAGAGACGGGTGCAATTTAATTGTTTAAAAAAAAAATCAAATGTGTCAATAATATAAAAAAAATCTGAAAAACATTATTAGTTTGAATTTATAAAATGAAGTCGATCCTAGTTTGAATTTAAAATATTAAAATAAAAAATATTCAAATGAGATAATAATATGAAAAAAAAATGACAAACATTATTTCTCAATTCATAAAACAAGATGGGTCTATAATGTTTAAGTTGTGCTTATGTATACGTACCATGTTAATAATAGTGATTTAGCACCCAGAACAGCTCGGATGAACTGGCTTGTGTGGTTGGCTCGGATGTGGTCAGTTCAAGGAGGCTTAGCTTGTTCCCAGTACACAATATTGTCAAGGAGCTCAATTAGGAGGCTCAAGGTACAGTGGCCCAATTAGAGAGCCCGGAGGTCGGGA